GCTTGCCTTTAATTTTTGATTATGTTCAAGATACCTATTTGCAGTCCCTTTTTGGATATATACAATCCAGGTTTAGAGCTTCATCAACCCAAAATGTAATGTACTTCACGTGACGTAAGTATTGACGTCACGTGACGTGAGTATTGCCTTTGAAAACTTACGTATATTAATGTATACTTTTATGTAATTGCTTCCATAAGAAATACATATCCTGAAAATGCCCGTCCTTAACCTTTTTCAATTTCTAATTTTCGTTGAGTTTTGACGCGTTTCTTTGGTGTGGAATTAGCATTAGTGTTCGTACTAATTATTCCAATGTGAACTGCAAATTTTCTTGTTTCAACATGAGCAATGTGAAAAATATATCAAATGTCATCAGACAATATAAATCACATAATTTTTGGTAGGATGAATGTCATTCTTTATTGATTTCAGCAAATCTGTACGTATACAGCTGATAGCTTCGTCTCATAAGGTCTTTCCTATTCATATTGTCCTGGTTGTGAATAAAATTGACCAGTTTGCTTTGGTGCGTCGCAACTGATGTAGAAAATTTTAAACTCTTTGCTGATTTGAGAATGTTTAAAAACGCTACTTGATTGAATAGCAAAATATCAAATTTTGATTACAAATTGTGATTGACTACCTTTCAAGCCAGACCGTGATTTGATTAGCAACGGTCTGCTTTACATCTTGAACAGTTTGAATAGGGTGTACTTCACATTGGAATAGGGTTTGGGGTTAGCAATAAGGTTATCAAACTAAAGAGTAGAGTTATTAAATAGTCAGAATAGTGGTTGTGCTCGTGTTAGTGTTAGCATAAGTAATGTGCGTCTTTGTCTCAGTGTTCGTGCTAGTTTTAGTCTTATGATAATGTCTTCATAGTGAAGATGTCTTCATGCTGGTGTTGGTCTAAGTGATAGTAGCAGTTTCAATGCTCATTATTGTTGTTAGTCTTTGTGTATGATGCTCGTGTTAGTTTTTTCTTGGTGCTGGTATTTCTGTTAGTCTTGGTGAATTTGTCACCGTTTATTAATTTTACAGTTTATTTTGACGACAGTGAATAGAGAAGAGTATGGTGATGATTTTACTGTTTTGGTTACAATGACGGGGGCGGAGAATATTATATCCAATCCTATCCTTGCCTCTCTTTTCCTTACTTCTGTTGTTGTTGCCTCTTCTCTTCTCGATGTTTGTCAATTTTTATCAACTCTTGTGCATGCCTACCCTCTACTCTGCCTTTTTCTCCTTGATTGTCCTTTATTCTTTTTTCCTCTTGTTTCCTCTCCCCTTTTCTCTATCGTCTCCTCTTCACTCTTCGATAGGTCTTGTTGTATCAAGAAATTTTTGTTCTTATGTTGGAAAACCAGTGTAGCACTGTTGCTTTTATGTAGTAAAATGTAGTTTGATGAGCAAGGATCGTCCTTTGTCGTAGATAAAAAAAAATTTATGCATTTGGAGCAAAAAATTGAAAACAGTTGAGCTTGGTTTGGAAGAAAAGAAATAGACTAGAAATTAATTTAAATGGTTAACAAGAAGCTATCAAAAGTTTATGTATTTATTTAAAAATGAAAGGATGAGAGGAGATAAGGAATTTCTAAAAAAACGTAATTTTGTTGCATATATTAACACCGCTTAAGTAGGAAATCCATCAATCATTACTTGATCTTTAGGAACTGTAATTAAGAGAAAATATAGATTGTTCGATTTATAGAATTAAGTAAGAAAATAATGTATTCTTTATTCTTGTCTATCTTTATGTCCACATCTTTTGCCTACCTTTCTGTGAACCTTCAAGTTCGCCTGTGTACCGTCAAGTTCACCTGTGTACCGTCAAGTTCACCTGTGTACTTTCATATTCACCTATGTGTCTACCTCTGTGTCTACGTAACTAGTTTGCGTCTATCTGCGTACACTTATTTGTACTTTAGTGCTTTCTTCGTCTTTCTTTATGTTTACCTTTGACTTTGTGTATACCCTTTGGTGTACGCTTGTGTCTACCTTAATGTCTACTTTGTGTCTATCTTTATGCCCGCCTATGTTTATGTCTACCTTAATTTACGAATGTTCTTGTTGTTGTAAGACATAACACGATATAATGAAATCAGACCATACCTATAGGACCTATAAGACCATACATGTAAAAATGTAATTGTGCTGTAAATATTTAATTACGTATGAGAAAGAATAATTTCATATAAGAAAGATTAAACATCCTTAGTTGATGTTTAGGAAGAACAAGTTAGAGGCAATAGGGATTGCTCAATCAATTTGGTTGATGTGTAAAGAATAAATTTACTTTTTCATTTTATGTAAAGAATGAGTATTTTGATATTTTAGACAGAAAAGATAAGGTTAGATTATAGAATGGAAAGATTTAATTATTTGTGTCGTTACAGTTGTATGCAGTGGCTTTTGGAATTGTTAAAAAAGGAGAAAGGAATGCAAAGGAAAAAGTTCGCGTTTGTTGAAAGTTTTAAATTGCGTTAAATATTGTAAGAAATGCAAGAAATATAGTCTTTGACATGAAAATGCGTGATATATAATCTTTGACATAAAAATTGTTTGAGCTGCAGGTCTTTGGCGTGAAGTTGCGTGAAAAATAGTCTTTGCCGTAAAAATGCGTATTCTATAGCGTCCTCTTTTGCGTAAAAATGTGTGAACATAAACTTTTGCATGAAATTGCATGAAATATTGTCTTTCCCATGAAAATGCGTGAACTATAGTCCTTTGCACGAAAGTTTGTGAAGTATAGTCTTTGCCACAAAAAGCCACGTCTGAGAAACTAGGATACGCCTCTGTCACAGACTCGGCAGCGCCGTGAGCCTAGGTTGGCTTTTTGTATATTCGATTTTTCCTTTGACAACAAGTTGTCATTCCTTACAGTACAAACAGTAAGCGATGGCATCTCTATATACTGCACAAAAATTTAGTCTAATGTGAAAAATGCATCGCGATGTTAAATATTAGGGCGCTCTTAGAGTTTCTCTAGAAAACTGTTTTAAAATACGCTCGTTATGCGCAGAAGGGCGCGAATCGAAATCTAACAGAATATCTTTAGCAGACCGATTGTGAACCCGATCGTGTAAGAAGAGAAGGCAGTACCACCCACACATAATGGAGCGCAGATCCTGTATCTTGTTGCAAGAATAGCGAACAACAAGTTTTGACCGTTCCACTTTTAACTACGTTAGATGGTGGAAGGCCGAAGCTGTCAAAGTAATCTACACAGAACTCGTCAGCAAAGGCACAAATTCAGTGAGTCCCACCTCCATCGAGAAAGTCTTGTAAGTTCATTATAACACTTTCTTCAGCTTTAAGAGGCTCTTTAGGAAGCATGTCTTTTGAGAACACCCCCTTAAATCCTTTAGCTACTGCTTTTAGATTACCATTTACTATACGATTGATATCTTTGTTTGATAGCGGCTTCCACTTCCTCACCCGCGTCACCGCGTCCCGGAAAGGAATATTCCTTCCCCCGACGTTCCTAATCCAAGGATTTTTCCTAGGACAGGCGCTACGATGGGAGCAGCTCGACCTGCAAGCAAAGAACCAAGGAATCCACCTTCTTGTGCGCGCGTCATGGCTGTAATCTGACTCTTTAGACAATTTTAGATCGATTCCAGATCCTTTGGATCTTGCACCCGTTATTCGCTTGATCTGTGTATTAGTAAGCATAAGCATATCAGGACCTTTAAGAGCGCTGTTGGTAATTCGCAAAGTTACTCCACTTTTGTCTCTAACTGCTTTTGCCAAGGTAGTTTTCTGATCTTTTGAAAGTTTAACACCATGAACTGTGTATCCAGAACGACTTTTCATACCAGAGCTACTACCGAAACCAAGAAGACTGTTATTATACTCAGGTCCATTAAATGGTGTAATACATCTTCTTCTTACTATACCACTACCAGCAACTGCTTTTTGCGTGCTGCTGCCGGTAATAGCACCTGATATAGCTGCTAGGCCTAGAGACGGTAAGACTTTTGGTATGAGTTTAATGACCGTAGGTATGAGTTTTCCAACAAGATTTCCAATAAAGCTACCACCTTCTATACTTCTTGACCCAGGAAGATAAATACCAGCGCCTTTACACTCCTGAGTGATTACTCGCTCCATGAGGGGTCTGAGAGCTTTAACGAATATTGCGTTATCAATGTCCGACATTTTTGTGCACATGCAAAACAATTTGCGTATATAAACAGTCGAAAAATTTTTATTTATTTTTTTAATTTCTAATTAATTCTGGTGCGAAGTAATCGGATTAAACGTAACATATCACATCAGACTAATCATCACATCAGACTAACAGACTAAACCATTATGTCCACTTTACCGTTAATCGCATTGAGCCGAAGGAAACGCTCGCTAAGCACGAAGCAGTACACGTGGTACGCCTGTTCACTACCAGCATTAATAGCACTATTAAAAGGGCCACCTAAGATCCAACGCACATCAATGCTTGCCGGAGCTTTTTTCAAAGCTTCAGGATGAAGCTAACGTCAAAGTTGTAAATAGGAAAGAGGTTTGCAAAGTCTCCTAAGTTTACTTGAGAGCCTGTATCCGGGTCGCTGTATTTCATCGCAGCGTCTTGGAACATCATGTAAGCTCTGCTGTAATTTCTTTCAACATCTGTGTAATTGACTTCAAGCTCTTCTTCAGGATACTTGTGATTCTTATTAATCCGCACATGAATCTGACGCAAATGAGCATTATCAAACACATGTATAGTTTGTTCTTGATTGTCTGAGCGCTCTGCATCTTAGAAACGCTACGAAGATGTGTGTTGGTAGCTCTTCACTTCCGTTTGTCGTCACACGCCATGAGACGGTGGTTTGACCTCTGGTGAATCTCTCTCGGTAAATACGACCTTGCTCAAAGTATAGCATGCGTGTGTAACCAGCAACCAACATGCTTTCTATCATGGTTTGAACTTCGATCGAAGGTCTGATGAAAGGAACCCAGAGTGAAAGATGTTTTATCTGAAATTTTCCAGCATCTACCCCATTTGCTCTATGAAGCGAGTTTTCAGCAGAAGCGCGAGTGAGATTCAGATTGAACTTTATACCTATGAAAGCTGAATCAATGTCTGTGGCGAAGCCTAGGATGTCAGCGAGGGGAAGCATCATGGTAACGTCTTTGGCTCCCGCGCAGAGCTGGCGGCGACTGGCGAAACCAATGTTGAAGTTAGGGTTCTCTGTTGCGTTGAGGTTTAAGTTAAAGTTAGCCCGGAAGTTGCCGCGATTCTAAGCGACACCGTTACCTACATTAGCAGCAGGAAGCAACTGAGCGTTAGTTCTGTTTACATGCTTATTAGAAACAGCCCCACTGGTAGCTCCAGTGTCGCGGTACCAGAAAGCACTAGTGGCGGTGCTCCTGGACGAATCATCCGAATCAGTTACAAGCTGCATGATCGTGTTGACAGTTGAAGTATACTGACTTATTTCTTCAACGGTCTTGTTATTAACCTGGATCTGGACCGTCTCAAACAGGCTCCAGCCACCATTCGCCAGAGCGACATTGTCGGCGGCATCATAATTGGTGCCATCGCTCTTTACCACGCGACCTCGAACTTCAAAAACGGATCTGTGAAGCCATATAAGCTGGTCAACGTTCTCAGTGTCGTTATAGATATTCTTATTATCGAAATTTGGATCGCGGGTAAGAATTCTTTTGAACTGCAGACGCTCAAAAGAGCGGTCAACGATGGGCTCGTCGAAGAGTCGAAGTGCTGCGAATATCATGTCCGTAGCCATTGTTATGATAGTTTGTAGTTCGTACAGTATATATATTATAAAAAATTTGCGTCTGCCGATCATCAGACCGATGTAGTTTAATTATTATTTCTAATATTTAGTCTGATGTGATATTAAGGCATACATTATGCCGTTACCTGACACGAGGTTGCTTAGAATACCTAAGTCTCGAGAAGTCAGCTGCTGCTTAGCAAGGCTTTCAGCGCGCGATACTAGAGCTTTTCTAGCTTCAGAAGTCCCAACCAGCTAATTAAGTTTAGATCTAGCTTCTTTCGTTAAAGCAGTGCGAGCACTTTTTGCGCGCGTTTTTGCAGTACTAATATCAGCTTCAGCCCCAGCACGAGCCACTGCAGATGCACGTGATTTAGCTTTATGCGCGGGCGCGGAGGGTGGGCCAGCCGTCTTTGGCTCCTGCCGTTGTCCTGGGTTTGACCTTCGCTGTATTTATTCTAGCATAATTACAAGAAGTACGTAAGCGAGCTAGGGCTGGGACGCTTAGACTTGTGTATATTCCTTCTCAAACTGTGAGGTGCGCTAGAAACGACGCTTTCTCAAGGTGAAGTGCGCCAGCCGAAACGCTCTGTATACTACTGCTGCGATTAAAAATGCGACCGCAAAACTTACCATTAGACATGGTCAGTGAGCGCTTTCTCGCGCAATTTCGGCATTTCTGACCACAGTGACGTTATTCTAAAGTGTGTCTAACCAATTAAAGCTCACAATTTTGATCACCTGATTGTGGTAGATCACAGTTGGAAACGGTTGCGCAATATTTATTGCGCAATTTCATAGTAATTCGACTGAATTAAGAATTACTTAATCCTAATATCGACTTATGCGTGCCGTGCGTGTTGTCAGTTTATATTCGGACAATATTCTCGACGATTCCGGTTAAAAACATGGATTCCATTGCTTTATCGAAAGTCATCGACCTTTTTTAGCATTATAACTCGAAGGATATCACTTCACTAGTGAATTAATATTGCTTCGAGAACAATGCGAAAAAGCTATTTCTGAGGGACAAAATCGTGTAGGTAATTGTAAACAGATTACAGTGCAGCTGTGCGAATTTTGAAAACTACAGTTTCCTAAGAGTCAGAGAGAACGATCAAAATCCAAGGCCCCTTTTCTTAATTATTTCATGTTAAAATATTTATGAATCTTCTATTGTTTTAGGCTAGGATACATGATGATAGTATATTCATGATTCCAGCTAACTATATTATGCATTTCTTGGTCTGGCAAAAAATCGAGTAATGCACGATGAATTGATTAATTGTGTGTTTTACAGTGTTTTCAAACTATAATATACCTAAGAAACCTAACCATTAACCTTACAAAGGAAATCGTCTTCCAATAAAGTAACATTATTTATGATAATAGAAGTCATAAAATATGTGTTAGTAATTGGTGTTTGTGTTATTTTATAAATATGGTTTCACTATGTCTTCATGTGACATCAAAGTGCTATGATATACTACCTATATTGTTTCGACACTCAGGAAATGCAGGAAATCTACTTACTATTTTACACCATTTGTATATTTATACAAACATCATCAACCAGCTCCACTGAAAACACCTTATTCATGACCTTTTCTCTGATTTATCAATATATATGTTTATAATATACACTAAGTATTCTTATCATTTTTATGAAGCTTGAAAGTAAATGTAAGTTTGGTATTTATCACTTTCTTTCTTTGAATACTGCAAATACTTCTCTATGTTGAATACACTGGCTGATGGGAACTGTGTGTACAATGCATGCTTCATTTCACTGGTAGGGGATAAAAGGTTATCGCTCCTTATGTGCTACCTTACCAGCATTGAATTTTTTTAGAATGCTGAATATTATGCTCACCAAAAACATAAGGATGGGATATTTACATGTTTTCAAAATGCATTTTCTTTGCGTTTGTCTCATACTTCCCTTTCAGTATGTGAATAGCACAGCCATATTGCAGCAGCTTTTGGGAGAAGCTAAGAATAATTCACACAGTTTTATGCATTCATGAATGATGTGTATGTTCTTATTGGTATCTGTTACATCCTGCATTATTAAATCATACTACCCAATTGCAAATGATTGTTTACCAGATTGGTATTCTCTTTGAACATTGCTTGTATTACCATGTTCCATGCATACTACTTCTTGCACATAGGAAGAAAGATGATGCATTAATTTTTTGTAGTGTATTGTATTGTTCTTTTTACTTTTCATTGCAAAAAATGACGTGCTTCATCTTTCTATTGCTTCCAAGGAACAATACTATGATTATGACAATGGATGAAACTGTTTTGATTTGATTATGGTATAAGACTTGGCAAACACAAGTAGTAATCACAGACAAAATTTAAAACTGGCCAAAATTTGCGGATTTTTTTCCTGTTCAGATCATGGATAGGGTTTTCCTATATTCCTTAATATATACTAAAAACAGGAAATCGCTTTTCTGAGAGTTAAATTTTATAAAATTTTATAGGCTGAGGAAAGATCCTAGTGATAGGGAATCATGTCAAAGAAATACACTAAAAACCTAATTCTAATCGAAGATGCTTTTCGTAAAATGTGTCGGGCAAAATTTAAAAGCTTATGTAGAAAATGCTGTGTGTTTGACATTTTTATCCATTGTTGAAATATATCTGTAATACAAAACTACGTGTAACAAGTTGTAATCAACCATATTATCATATAAAGTAAATGTACATATTATCATAATGTATAAAAAAAGTAAAATGATGAAGTTTTATTTCTGCTAAGAATAAAATATTATTGACAAATCAAATGATTTACTGAATTACATTATCTTTGATAATTTAAAAATCAAGCCGTAAGATTTTTTTTGAAGTTACATAAAGTTATTGCGTGGAATCCGAAAGACAATACTGGTGATTGCTACCTACCATGCCACTTGTACTGCCCACCAACCAGAGATGACCGCGATTGCATTAAAATAAAATTAATAAAATCTTTTTATGTTGTGTTTCCAAAGGAGAGGCAAACCTCGACATACTTTGTAATTAAAAGAAATCTTGAAAAAATCAATATATTGTAAATCTTCACATTTAGTTTTTCTGTTGGGACAGGTTAATCCTTTGGTTAATTTACCAATAAATTGATGCATTGTAGGAATCAGAAATATCTGGAATATGATATCGAACTAAAAATTAAGAATCATTTTGTCTCACTCATAATGGATGACGATTTTAGAAAATGACGTCAGATATTGCATTCATGAATTATGATGTTTCTAATCATATATGATTTATCAAACATCAAGCACAGCATAAAGTACCATTTCTTCAATTGCAATGCTTATGATTGTACAATGAATGCAAATTATAAATTATTAGTGAAAACATTTCAGTTTTTTAAAATTTTCCTTAGTACAGACTACAGCTAAAGTGAAGTGTTAATCTTTCTCATGACATATATCAGTGAGGAATCATAACCAGATCAGTGCGGTATCCCTCAGAAAATTTAGTGAAGTCACACGGACATTTCCTTTTTGTAAATATAAAAAAAGTAAATAAGATAATAAAATTATCCATTTCTTTACCACTTTTCTTTAGTGAAACTTTCTTCTTTGTGCACACTGTTTAGTCAAGACTCAATAATTGTCATGAGCATTCTTTATTATCCGTACGCTCTCCCTTAAATTACGTTTCATTTATTTGTGCACTAAACACTCACATTCTTGCATCGTGTTCTCACGTGCTATTATCACTTGCTATTATCACGTGCTTATAAAGACAAATGCTTTGACTGGCTTGAGTGCAAATTGATGGATAATGAATCCAGCTTTTACTGCAATTTATATATATATAAATAATACACATGTGAGCTACTTATAACTTCACTGTCATTAAGGTTATCCTTAGTTAGGTGTTTACATTTGACCTACTATCAATATTATTTTACTTTAAATATTTATAATTTTTATTAAAAATATTTATAGCACAAATCAAGGAACATTTACCGTCATCACTTTTCACCCACAGTTACATAATACCAAAATACATATAATGATTCGTTTTCAGTTAAGTTTGTATTTCTCTTTAAAAATTGATCTGAGCTCAATCAACCAACTCAATTAACGTATTTAAGGGTATAAGAAAGTGCGGCGCTCTTCAAATATTTGTAACTTTAGATACGGCGCACATATGGGAGACATGCTTAATCGAGGTAGATACTCTTTAAAACGAGCTTTCAACTGTATATTGTGTGTTGTAACAACAACACCTAACAAAAAT